CGATGTTTTTGATTTGCAACACATCATGACCCTGAACTATGCGTTTTAGAGTTTCAGGTATCAGAAGCAGCTTTAAACTTTACCACTAAAGTGTTTCAGTTTTAAATTTTTTTGCACTTATGGATGCCATCATCAAAACATAGCAACTTCAAGAAATATAATTCACTTTGCGACCATGCACAAGGTACCAGCAAGAAAGCAAGCGGTCACTCAAGCTGCCTTTGAAAAGTTGGTGTACCTACATCGAAGAAACGGTCTGGATGAAAATTAGTGGGTGCGCAGCTCAGAACTGAAAGACCTAGCATAGCTGCGTCCGGTGGGTGGAAGCATCCCAGTTCCATCAGTAGCACCAGATACTCGTGCTCGTTGCCGGAGGCATTTGTAAAATAAAAAGTAGTATTTTGCGCAATTCCAGAAAAGTGGAATTTCATTTTTCATTTGCTCCTATTTGTGTGCCAAGTTACCGTGTACATTGATTGATTGCGACTTTGATAAACGAAATGCAGTAATCCACGACCCATATCAATAGTTGTAAACAGAGAATGAATTGGTCCAAAATCTGTACCGCCAATTTGATCACGATAGAAATACCGAAAGTGAGTCGGTTCATTCCTTAGTGATTCCGCCAGGATGATCACCAGTTCTGCAGCAAAGGACAAATTGAAACCGGTAAAAAAGCTGCCAAACAGTGCTGCTTTGACTGAACAGTACTTCTTCTAAAGCCATGTAGCACGAATTCATCATCAACAAGAAATAATTTGCCAACGCAAGGGCAGCCCGTGCGAAGATGCGTTTTTTGCATAGTTCCCCTCAGTTTTTTTTGCTACCGGCACCAGTTTTCCCGGCAAATGCTTCTAGCTAAACAAATTAAAACTGGCTGTCAGTCAGGAAGCATCCGCTTAAAATTTCAGCTTTCAAGCTTTCCCGGCTTCTGAGTTAGCAACATACACGAAAATAAATTTTACAGGCCCGTACGTGGGTACCACGCTTACCCGGGGCTG